ACTTTGAAATTAGAAAGACCACCCAAAAACACCCAAAAAGCAATATAATTTACCCGCTTAGGAAATGTCTCCGCTTAGCTTCTACCGCAATTTTGAAACGCGCAGGACGGCGAAAGTTTATACAATGAAGCATTTTTATCCGTACAAAAATATGGGATTAGTTTCTAAACTCCACAATTATTATAAGTTGTTCTGCTCAAGAATGGCCTTTTTTCATCGCTCCAAAATGTGAGATGTGTCTCAGGCTCAGCAACTCATTTGCGAAGGGCTTTCTGGATTGTTTTTGCCATGTAGGCCGGATCCTCTCATTATGATGTACAGTTAAAACGATTGTTCCAGGTGCTTACAGAGCACAGAGTCAATAAACTACAGACGAGGCTACTACTAAGCCAAAGATTTTTTTTGTCGATGTGTTTGATGTCAATCCTATTTTCCTGTATTTCCGTTATACAAAAATTCCAGCAAAACTCAAGAGATATTTATTACCGCTGTGAACCAATAGTGCGTTCCACAGTATACAAACAAAGTTTGTTAAGCAGTGAATCGGCGACTTACATTTGTTCACTTTCGCAAAAAAGCTGATCTTTGCTTTCTGGTTCGTTATTGCCGTAGGGGACGGATCCTCTCATTATGATGTGCGATTGTTTTAGGTGCTTTTGAGTCAGAGGCTCACTAAACATGGTAAACAAAGCTGCTACTAGTAAGACTTCTTTTGTTATGTTCGATGCCATCCCTATAATCTAGTCTACGAGCTATAAAAATGTTAGCAAAACTGATTAGATAGAGATTTTGCTTTGTGAACTAAATAGTAAGTTTTGCCTTGCATTTATGCAAAGTTTAATTGCAAGTGATTTGACGACTTATATCTTTACCTTCACATAAAACTCATCTATGCAAACCTTCCTTTCTCTTGGATTCTCACAGTGCTGAGAAGAATTAAAATCACAAGTACGATCTCTTAGACAAAATGCTTACATGATCGAATAAAACTTACGCATATGGAGCTTTTGCGAAAAAGCTGAAAAGCTTTAGATCCTTATTCCCGAGCGCTATCACCCCAACTACTGATACAGTTTTCCACTACTGCTTGTTTAATCGTAAGCAGGGAGTCACAATATCAGGTGTTCTATACTTTTTGGTCAATCGAAAATTATATAATGTTTTGAGATTCTAGAAGGACGGCTTGGTCGAGCTTCTGTCGCGATGATGATGGCGTGGTCCTCGGTTTTCTCCTCATCATCAATTCATTGTGTTTCTTCAAGAGTAGATCAAAGTCGGGATCTCTGCTTTTCGTATTGGCTCCTTAGTGGATCTGGTGTTATCTCCTATTGTTCACCGTCGATAAACACATCTTATATGGCTTGCCCATGGCTGTTTCTTCACAAAAGTGGAATCCATTTTCTATATCCGGGGCAATAAAGCCATACTAATTCTTCGATTTGGTGTGATTTCTTCTGTGCTTCGTGATGCCAATTTATTGCTCTTCCGCTCATTACCAGTCCGTTCTTTTTTCGTTGTGGCTTTCTTCAACTAATAACGTCCCAACTTGACATCCCAAGAACACTTCCGCTGGCGAACGTTTTCCAAGCATTGACATGCAATCAGTAGCATTACAGGAATTCTATGAGCATCCTTGCACCCCACCCTTTTTGATTATGTAGGAAGCGAAGTATTCACATAACTTTTACCCTGTCCACCTGATTGCGGATGGAACGATGGTGCGCTGATATGCTCAATCTCGCTTTTTAAAGAAGTCTTAAAACTCTTTTGCTGAACTGTGTTAAGTTGTCCGACATGATTACTCAAGAATTTTCGGATCGTGTACAAATGCAAAAAGCAGTCTGAGCTTTCTTATGGTAGCAGTAGTTGACGACGGCGACATTTCGAGTACTTCCCGCCACTTGAGTAGGCGTGAACCACGATGAGGCATATTTTTCCATTTCGTGGAATTTCTGTCTTCAGCGGCATCTTCGCGGCTTTCTGACACCCGGCAGCAGCGCACTGTTTCCTCGATGTCTGTAATGCTCATCAGTGTCGATTTTTCTTATAATGGCCTCAAAATCGCTTGTCGGAATAATTTTGAAATGGCTATTCTGTGGCCGAAATACAGACATCCCTTATGTACCGACAGATTGTGGCTCAATGCCCCATTGCCAATTCGTCCTTCAGTTTGGGCGGCCCTGCCCCTGCTTGTTGCATCTGTATGCCCTGCGATCTCGTTTTTCTGAGACTTCTTCAATCGTCCTCCTGGTCACGGGTAGCGTTTTTACGGCAGCGCTCTGAGCACGCGTATCCTCTTCCATCATGGTAACACAATCTTCGATCTGGAACGGTTTGGAGATTAGGAAAAATAGGGCATCGGCTTGTTCAAACTCGGCTGTCTTCCAATATTCGAGTTCGAAGTCGTAGGCAAGCAGTATCAGCTCCCATCGCTGCAGTCTATTGCGTGTACACTGGCACCAAGAATTCTGTAACAGCGGTTTGTGATTTGTGAGTCAGCTTGAAGCGACGACCGTACATGTAGCGGTGATACTTGCGAACAGCGAATATCAGAGCAAGTTCTTCCTTCTCAATTTGACCATAATTCCTTTCTCCTGCGGTAAGACTTCGGTGCATGGCAAATTGCTTCCTCAGTCCCATCCGGCAATGCAGAATTACTGTTACGATTCTATAGTCTAATACATCGGCAGCTAGCACAGTCCAGACTAGGATCATTTGGCTGCATAGGTAGGACCTCATCTGCATACTTCCGATATGCGTCCTCGTTCAGCTTCATGACGACCAGATCGCGTTTCTTGTCCGGCAACAAACCTTCGCATGTGACCGGTCCGTACCTGTTAAACAAATAGGCGTATGTGTTACCTGTCTCTTCGTCTGAGGCAAATTTTTGCACGTCCCTGCTCAGCTGATCGTATTGATCTTTGCTGGCGCATCCTGAACTGTACCGCCTTGACGTGGCGAACATTGACTTCATTTCGTCGTGCTGCATCTTCATTTCTTCCTAGAGACGCCTCTGCTTGACCATGACCGTCAGGATCTTCTCCAGTTGAAAATTATGAGCACACCGTTTTTCTCCACAATTCGGCATGGCTGACTTCTCTGGACTGGACACGACAACTTCTTTCCTCTTCCTTGGAGGCTGGTGGAGGCTTCTTCTTTGTCCTTGATCTTGATCGCCAGTCGTTGAGTAACGCCTTGATGTACTTTTATGTTCAAAAAGGCTGAGAGGCCCTCTATACAATTTGTACACCATTGGTTCAAGTAGTGAAACCTATGGAATAGCAATGAAGTAAATAGCATAAGACGTGGCGTATATCCTGCTATCTTGAGTATCACGTTTAGCATTGGTAAAATACAGAGACAAAACAAGTTACAATATAACTAGATACAGTCCCTACAACAGTTTGCATGTTTTATCTAGCCAAATCGCATGGCGAATATTTAGACTGGTGAAAAATGTTTGAA